GTGATAATTGATTTCATATGTAGGTTATGTCAGAGTGGTGAATAGTATGTTAAAAAATGTTTTCGTTTATAAACTAGAACTTCTTGAGACATGAAACTTAGGACATATCTATTAAACTTCAATAAATTCAGTAAAAATTTCTTTACAACAATCGTCTCTTTAGCGACAAAGAAAAAGTCATTGTAATCTTTTCATTACAATTTTACATTTATTTTACTGTCGCAGATCACATAACCGATGAATTCTTTTATTGCGGGGATGCGCGGGATGTAACAGATTAAAATGAGTGCATTTTCCAAGCACTTGAGATGTGGGAAAGAAATTTGGCTACTTATTTCAATAGAATTCATAAAAAACATGTTTAATAATTTTCTATAAAAAATTAACGCCACGGAGAAAATTTTAGTTAACGAAAAATTCGTCGCATTTTGAGCTAGGCAGATTTCAATTTCACTTATGAGACCTGCAATTACTTCAATTGAAACTCAATGCTTATTTCAAATTTTTTTCTTCGTGATAATTTTATTTTTCATTTTTATAAGAAAGCCACGGAAATGTTATAATAATTGCGCATTGAAAGTTACAATCAATATTAGCTAGAAAAATCACATAGATAAAAGGTACAGGCTAACTCGAGGGAATTCGGAATCTGTACAAGTCAAAACAATATCGATCCTTAACTTAAAAGCTGTTGGTCGGGGGGGGATTTACGCAGAGGAACTTTTTGTAGCAAATTTTATGCTCTACAAAAACTATACACGCGTTTTTTCCAAAAAAATTTTTTTCACGTCGAAAAATCAAGTTGAAACCGAAAAAAAATTTTTTTTTCATGTTATTTAAATAGGAAATTGAATTTTTAAATGAGCTAAGCCGCTATTGCACTTACAGCCTTTTACTCGGTGGCATAATTTTTTATTTTTTATAAAGTATCAAATTTTCAGGTAGCACAGAGAAAAAAAAAATATCGCCTAAAAATGAAGCACCCTAATAGGTATATATGAAAAATATATAAAAAATGCATGTGGGTAGTCAAATGAAAGCTTTTGATGAGTGTAACATCATGATGAGGTTATATTTTTAAAATATATATTACATAATTAAGAAAGGACCTTCTATCTTGTGAGCTATTGACATTTTTAAAGATATAAGCTCATCCCGATGTTATACTCATCGAGACCTTTCATTTGAGTACCCATATCAATTTTTCATATATTTTATATATTTATATATATGAAAAATATATAAAAAATGCATGTGGGTACTCAAATGAAAGCTCTTGATGAGTGTAATATCGGGATGAGCTTAGATCTTTAAAAATGTCAGTAGTTAAGAAATTACAGTGCAATTTATGTCATTATTTAATAAAGCAAATATTTTTTAATATACCTGGCTCAATATACTCTTCAAGTTTTTCAATAACATCAGCATTACAAATTCCATTTTCAACTTCTTTTTTTCTAGTAATCTGTATACTTTTTTTGTACTCTATTTTCATTTCACCGTGTACAAATGGCTTGTAAGATCCAATTAACATTTCTTTGTTAATTTTAGATTCTGTAATACATAAGTATATTAATTACATTATTATTATATTTACAGCTTGGTGTTCCAAATCAGTTAAAATGATCATAATAAAACATGATTTTTATCAATTTAAAACGGGAAAAAATGCGATAAATTTTTTCTCGTAATCTATTAAATTTCAAAACAAAATCAATTATCAACTCCCATCAAATTACTCTGATAAAAATAAAATTGGATAAACCCCTCAATTAAAATCATTGAAGGTAAACGTTTTCCTCATTACGAATGTTCTGTATACATTACAACAAACAAGTGCATACACTTATAATTCTAATTGTATGTGCCGAGCAAGTAGATAAGGTTTATTGCTTAAGGAACAATAAATAGATAAACATAAATACTTAAAAACTGCAAAATAACAATAAGACAATATGAAACACGAATTTTATTAAATTAAAAAAAAAAACTTACCTGTTTTTACGGCAAGCGATGAATTTTTACTAAAAAACTCTTTAATATTCTTCGAAAATTTTATAACAAATTTATTTAAAAACAATAAAGCGAAGTACGCTGTAAATAGTATCATTAAAATCATAGCTTCGTACCAAGTAACACGTGCATCCCACATTACGATAACGAGCACACTCACAGATATGATGTAAATAATGCAATCACGTGACAAAATCCACCCGTCTAATTGAATTCCCTGGAAGAAAAAAATAAATTTATATTTTAGGAAAATAAATGAACGTTATTGACCTCTTTTAATTTCTATCTCAAGAATACCCACTTATAGATAAGCTCTTCATAAATACAATCATAAAATGGTATTAATGAAAATAAGGAAAAAAAAAATGTAAATAATATAATTTACCTGCGCTGCTGATAAAGCGCCAAAAGCCGGTGTAGCAAATGTATTAAAAACAGCACCTCCTACAACAGTACCGACTCCTAGGTCGGATTCGGTCAAAAAAGTACCGACAACATTGACAAATAATTCGGGAAAACAACTAGCGGTAGCCAAAAATGTCGCGCCCGCAACATCGGCACTTATTTTTAATTCCGCACAAATAATATCAAGCGCCGGTAGTAAATAGTCATTGCATACGTATGCAGTCAATAAAAAGCAATAAAATCCAAAAAAAGTATGCAACAAAGCAGCTCCATGCTGCAGTTGATCTCTTGTAAAAATATCTTCTGGAAAGTCTTCGACGGAACGCTCATTAGAACAATTTTTAATTTCTGTTAGCGTTAGATTATCTGAATCGTAGCTTAAGCCTGCGATAAAATACGTTAGAAAAAAAATTATAGGTATTTATCACGAAATCTTACCTTGATCTTCACTGTTGATTGCCTCAAATCCCAGAGATAAAATTATCACTAAACTTAGGAATCTATTGAATCGAATATCCATCGTAAAAGTTTTTTTTTTTTTTTTTTAATTGCAAGTTTTGTATTACAGTAATTTTTATAGTCGATAATTATAATTACTTGGTTGATAAGAGACGATATAAAATGAAGTGAAGCCGCCGAAAGACAAGAAATGAAACTGTTTCATCGAAAGCGGCCCTATTCTAGTCACATCGTTACACTAACTGATTACGATCCCTCCTACTTAACTTTATGGATACACGTTTATTATTTGTTGTCGCTAAGTAATCTAAACAGCGATGCTTCAACCTCACTTTTTCTTTATTTAATTGTTACCTTTTATTGTAATTAGGATTAAATTTTGGTGGTTAGAAGAGCATGTTCTTTTATTAACCTAAAAAAGATCTTTAGAAGGAATAAAAATTTGAATTATTAATTAATAATTATTAATATATTTTTCATTGATCCCCGCTTTAAGTTTATTGAAAAACTTGTTATTGTTTTAAAGATATCGATTAAACGAGACGATTTTGGTGAAGATGTACATTGACCAGCTAATCTCTGAGTTTTTAGAGATACAAATCGGGGAATCCCGGTACAGTTTTCTCACTTACGAATGTACCACTAGCGCCGCCTGGAATCTTTGATTAAACTATTTAAAAAGTCAATTTTGAATAATGCAAATTTTTTTTTTTTTATTTTTTATAAATAAATCTTACAAAGAAATAATTATTAATTTTTCTTATCTATTTAATTAATTCTTTTAAAATATAAAAATAATTTTTTTTTGAAAAAAAAATTTAATTAATAATTGGTTTGGATTTTAAGGGAAGAAATAAGTAATAATTTTTAAATAAATAACACTGGTTTATTTAATAAAAAATATTTAATTTGTGCATGTTACACTGATGTTAATTTTTAACATTATCGTTTCTAAGTGAAACTAAAGCATGATAACGCTTGGCATATCTATTGTATTATTTGTAAAGTTCATGTTTTTACAGTTTTAAAATATTTGTAAATAAATAAAGTAAACTATAAAAGTGAATTTTTACACTCATAAAAAATCAGAGTATTTATAAAATTTATCTATGAAGATTATTGAAAATCACCAACAATTATCTTTATTTGTGAAAGAGGTTTTAATGTTAATAAAATAGTTATTATTTATTAATATATAGTAAAAAATTCATAAACTTTTATTGATATGGTCAAAATTAATTGTTTTTACATTAGAAATTAAAACATTAGTCTTCTATTGATTGAATTAAATAAATTATTAATTTATTTATTTATAAGCCGTAATTGTTTCAATTATATTCCGATAAAAATATATAAAAAAATGAATTTTTAATAAGGTAAAAATTTATTTACTTAAAAAATACTTCATTAATTCTCAAAATTTTTCTACATTTTTTTCTCATGATTTTTTATTTTACAACACTTATTACTTAAGTGGAAGAAAACCGCCAAGTGTTTTTGATTGAAAAAACTTATTTAGAATAACAAAATACTTTTAAAATAAATTATAAATAATTCGAGCATTTTAATGTTTTTATAAAATTATTTTGGAAGCACCATAAAACAACTTGTAACTTCCGTTTATAAGTAGCATGTCTTTTGATAATGAAAAATATATTCGTAACAATATTATAATATATATATATATATATATATTTTTCTTACGCGAAAATATTCGAGCATTAGGCTTGTAATAATGAAACTTAAGCTAATTACTCTAGGTCAATGCAATTATTTTTGTTCATAAAAAGTATTCTTATTATATTATACAAAAAAGTAGGTTCTAACAAGGAAACATTTTTTTTAACGTGTCGTTGTTAGCTGTCGTTTTTTAATTATAGAAATGATCTTTTGTTAATTTTTTCATAAAATAATAATTATTATTTTTGTTATTTATATAATATTAAGCTTTCAGTAATATTGAGATAACAAATTTTTAAATATTTTTAATCTTTTTCAAAATTTAAATTTTTTATCAACACTGCAAGTTAATTTTAATAAACTTTCTTGAAAATTAAAACAAAAATTCATGTAATTTTATTTTACACACAAATATTGTGTAATAAAATTAAAATAATTTATTTATTTTTATTCATACAAAATTTTTTACTTTGTACAAAAAATAAAAAAAAATTTTATTAAAAATTATAAAATATAATTAATAAAATTATTAATATCTGATATTAAAGTAAAATTTTTACGACCAAAAATAATTGCAGTTTTAAAATTGCAGCTATAATAATAATAATAATAAAATAAATTAAATTGTTCTTATTTACTGTCATCTTTTTTAACATTCTTATTTCTACTATAAAGAGCGTCTAAAAATAATGCAGAAAATACAATAAAAGTACCTAACCATTGTCTGAGAATTAAAGTATTTCCAAACAACAAAACTGAGCTTAGAACAGTGAAAAACTTCCTGGTGGTAGTTATAATTGAGCAGGGCAGTGGACCGAATTCCGATACCGTGCGGAAGATAAAGAACTGCCCTAACGCACCAGCCGTCGAAAATGACATAATATGAAAGAGTGAATTCGGATGTCTTTGAACAAACTTAAAAAATTCAAACATTTCACCGCTCAGTGCAATAACAGTGCCACTGAACACCATGGACCAGAAGTTCATGTTCATCATCATGTGCCCCGATGAGGATTTATGCTCAGCGCGCATACGCTCTTGTGCTGCACTGGTGAAACCGTCCATCATTAACGATAAGAATATCAGTAATTCACCACCGAATCCAGTTTGTTCGCTCTGCTTCTCTGGTGCTGATTTACCGTCTTTGAACATGAACAGAATCACGCCGGCGACGATCATGAATGTAAATAAATATTTTCTCATCGAGTATGACTAAAAAATACAAAAAAATAATTAGTTTTTATTTTATTGAGGGTAAACCTTGTCGTGAATTGTGAATTACAAGTAAATAAAATTTCGCTTTATTAAATAATGACTTTTGTTAAATTGCACTGTACTTTCGTGAATATTAATGTTTTTAAAAATATAAGCTCATCCCGATGATAAACTCATCAAGAGCTTTCATTTGAGTACCCACATGCACTTTTGATATATTTTTCATATATATAATATATATATATAAATATATAAAATATATGAAAAATTGATGTGGGTACTCAAATGAAAGGTCTCGATGAGTGTAATATCAGGATGAGCTTATATCTTTAAAAATGTCAATAGTTTAAGAGATGCAAGGTCATTTCTTAATTATTGACATTTTTAAAGATATAAGCTCATCTCGATCATGATACACTCATCAAGAGCTTTCATTCAAGTACCCACATGCACTTTTGATATATTTTTCATATATACATATATATATATATAATATATAAATATATAAAATATGATGAGCTTATATCTTTAAAAATGTCAATAGTTCACAAGATACAAGGTCATTTTTTTATCATGGATCTAGAGATATCTAAACTAGTCTTAGAAATGTTTTTTTTTAAATTGCATTTATAATTTTTATAGCTTCTTAAGATTTTTTTTGCTGTAATAAGTCTATTAAAAAATTAATAAAAATTATCAGATGTCTCTAAATTCCAGAATCATAATAAATAATAAAATTGTTTACCTTTTTGCCGAGTAAAACTCCTAATAACAAAACAGGTATTGGTTTGGCAGCTTTACCAACAACTTGTGTCGGATAACTGACATAACTTAATGCCATATTACTGGATACCATCCCTAATAAATATGTCAAAGCTGCAAAAGCGTAATAAACTGTTTTTGTACTGTCATCATTCTCCTTCATAACTGTCAGCAGCAAAAATTTTGAAAATACATAATTGACAACACATTGGAAGAAAACAAGTGAAAACATGTAAGTGAATTTTTCACTGTTCTTCTCATCACCGTAGACACCCCGTGTTATTTTTTCTTGGAGCATGCCAAAATAAAAATAACAAACGAATATACCTAGTGCACATATTATCAATCTAGTACTGCTATTACTCGTCATTTTTAATTTTTTTTTTAATTTTAACTAATTAATAAATAAATTCAATATTAGCTAATAAAGTATATCAACACCAATAATGAAAGTGAATATTTTACAAGTGAACTCAAATATGACAGGTTGATTGTTGACATCACCAAAAGGCGCATAACCGGCATTACTGCGTGGCCATCGCTCGTTTGTCCCCGTAGTTTAGTTTCGATGAAAATTCACTCGTGGGAGGTATGTACGGAATTTTCTAATTCCTTTTGACACGTTTCAACTCAACAATACAAAGCATATGGAACTACAGATGGTTTTAGTTCAAAAAACACTCACAAGGGCGCGCTGGTAGTTTTTTACAAAATAGTCTTGGGAATCCCCCAGAGATGTCATTTCTATGCCGGTTTTTGATAAAATTATTTACTTACCGACTTTTCAATGAATTTATTTAATTTTTACACAAGAAAATTAATTAATTAATTTTAATTAATTTAAAAAACAATAACACTAAAGTTAGCCGACGTTTTTAATATTTTGATATTTTTTTAAATTATTAAATTAGAACTACAAAATATTTTTTAAAAATTGCACTTGTAATTTTTTTAAATTTTTCCATCTGGAATTTTTTTTGTCAAATTTCTTTATTATGAATTAATTTTTAAATGTCTGCTAATTTGAGTATCATTAGAATTAAAATAAAAAAAAGTAATAAACAACAAATAATTTTATAAAAATAGTTGGAGTAAAATTAAAAAAAAAAAGTAATAATAATTATTTATTATCGCGCTTAACAGTGACTTGCCTTGAAACTCGTGAATATACTATTATGAAATTCTAATTGTTACCTATTATAGTAAATAACTTTGTTATCAGTAGTGAAAGATGGTAAAAAAAAATATTAACTACTATTTTCGCTTGCAAAATAATTTTATTAGAATTATAAATTCATGTAAAAATATCTATTCCATTTGAAATAAGTAATTAAACATCATCCTTTGCACACCTGAATCCAAGATTACCAGCCGATGTATCTGGTGTGTTTTGATGACGAGCCATGCATCTATACCTGAAGCAATAATTTTCGTGACAAAGATATGAACCCCCTTTCTTAACTTTGTCACTTCCCGTTGCTGGTCCCGTCTGTAAAATTATTATTTATAAACTTATTGAAACAATAAGTGGAAGCAAAAATGATGAATATAAACATACAGGATTATGAGTTTTATCTTTGGTATGTTTTACAGACCACCAATCGGATGTCCATTCCCAAACATTACCAGCAATATTGTAAACACCGTATCCATTTGGTGGAAATTCAGTTACCGGTGCTGTGCCGTTGTAACCATCTTCAGCGGTATTTTTATTTGGGAATTCACCTTGCCATATATTAATTCTACAACATGACAATAGTTCACAAGATAGCAATATCAGTTCTTAATTATTGATATTTTTAAAGATATAAGCTCATCCCGATGTTACACTCATCAAGAGCTTTCATTTGAGTACCCACATGCATTTTTATATATTTTTCATATATACATATATATATAATATATATAAATATATGAAAAAATTGATGTGGGTATTCAAATGAAAGGTCTTGACGAGTATAAAGTCGGGATGAGCTTATATCTTTAAAAATGTCAATATTTCACAAGATAGCAATGTCAGTTCGTAATTATTAATATTTTTAAAGATATATAAGCTCATCCCGATGTTACACTCATTGAGACCTTTCATTTAAGTACCCACATGCCTTTCTGATATATTTTTCATATATACATATATATAGTATATAATATATATAAAATACATGAAAAAATGATGTGGGTACTTAAATGAAAGGTCTCGATGAGTATAATGTCGGGGTGAGTTTATATCTTTAAAAATGTCAATAGTTCACAAGATAAAAGGTCATTTCTTAATTATGTATCTAGACATAGAGCATTTTTGAATGTAGCCTAAATACTTATCGTAGCTACCTATGTTTATTATTTGGTGTCAATTTATTACCCCAAGGATACAATCTGTCATCAAGACCACCTTTACACGTGACTTCCCATTCTGCTTCAGTGGGCAGTCTTTTTCCTAACCATGTGCAGTACGCAACAGCATCGTTCCACGATACATGAATTACTGGATGGTCCATCCTGTCTAAAAATAAAAAACTACTAAATTAGAACCATTTAAAAAATTAATTCTAAAAAAAAAATATGAATTACAAGTGATATTAGAATCAGGCCCTTCAGGATGTCTCCATGATGCTTTATCAACAGGCAACCACCAAGGCGCCTGAGCGACAGCCTCCTCAATTTTCGACTTAACTTTTTCACTAATCAGCCCGTCAAATACAAAAGAATTGCCAAATTTTTCTGCTTCGGTTCTGTACCCAGTAGCGTTGACAAAAATTCCAAAGTTTTTATTACTGACCTCATACTTGTCAATAAAAAAACTATTTAATTCTACCGGCCTTTTTGGGCCTTCACCGTCTTGGGTAAACACCGGCTTATCGGTACCAATAAAATAAACTCCGGTTTTTATCTTTACCATTTCATTGGGCACACTTTGCCGTACTATTGATAATAAATTGTCACTAATGTCCTTATCATAATCTTCTGAGTGATTAAATTCACTCGAACAATATTTGTTGTCATTTTTAGAACTGTCACACTCTGGACGGTTTAAATTTTTCCCACAACAATTTTTATCTTCTTTATTTCCAGCAGCAAAATTTATTACTAATATTATTATTAATTTAAATAAAATTTCCATTATTAAATTATTTACAATTGCTATTTTATTCCGAATGTAAATGACCTGAAAAAAAAAATTATAAATGTTCAAAACGTTGACAAGTAGTTAAAACTTACCTCATATTTTATGTAAGCGATAAGCTTTTATGTTTAAAAAAAATTAACGAGAAAAAAAAACAATAAAAACTTTTAATATATTGATAAATATTCTTTTGTCTTTATTTGAAAAAATAAAAAAATTTATTGCATTGTCTCACGCTTGAAGATAAACTGTATTAACGAGCGAGAAATTTTCGGTTTATTTATTATTGTAAATTGTATTTGTAATTAGACGAAAATGAAGTACTTTTTCAACAGCTGGCGAATTGTCGTGCGATGAAATACAACCACACATTTTTAGCGGTAAAATTTAAAAATGATATGAAGGTATTACATTTATAGCTTCGTATGTTTTTTTTTTATTTAAAAAGTCAATTTCACGGTACTGAAATAATAAAATAATATTGTCCCAGTTAGATGACATATAAAAATTTTAATATCTTTATTTAATGTCATTTATTACAGGAATATTTGCATGATGATCGGATAATGGTATCATCGGTAATATCCACACATGACGCTGACTTTTTCAACAGTTTGTATGATAATATTTGCTTAATAGCTGATAAAACCTGGGCATTTGATAAACAACATCATTATCGTAAATTAAATCAACGCTTGTGGGTTCAGGTGATGTTATATAATGTTATTATCCTATTATAAATAATCTTTATTGAATTATTTAGTAGATTTTGTTTGGATCAATGTATTTTTCAGCTAATATTTATCGATGAGCGGGTTAAATACTTTTCTTCAATTTTTTATAATTCAATCATTTTTTTGATCGTTTAATTTTTACTAGACTGAAAAAAAAAAATCTTGAACCAAGAAAATAATTTTGAATAGGGTAATTGTCTTGAATCAAGACAAAAAATTCTTTAATCAAATAAAATTTATTAACTCAAGAATTTTTCTACTCAAATCAAGAATATTTATTTCTTCAAAATTATGTAATTGATTAAAAAAAAATTTTTTTTTCTGTGTAGACATTACTGTTAAAAATTTTATTTTAAAATTCAAATTTTAAATTATGATTACATTTTATGAAGACGTTAAAATAATTTCACAGAGGAATTTTTTTGCGCATTCAGAAATATTATTTCTAGCTACATATGTCACAATACTAAAACCATAAGGACACTAAACTTTTTTGCCAATCGATCGGACTAAATCCGAGCCTAAAAACAAAAAAAAAACTATGCCAAAAGGGCGTATATATTTTTTTATCGACCTTTTTCTCCCTTCATGTAGAGAAAAACTTGTTTCACATCATAAAATCATGTACGAAAAGCATTTTTGTTAATTTTGGAAATGATCCTTTTCCTAAAAACTTATGATCTTAGTTTTGAAAGTCTTACGTTTGCATTTTTTTAATTTTATACAAACTATTTTGTTATTTTTATTAAAAACAAATAAAAAATTCAGTCCGCTGAATGTGTTGCAGTAAATTTCACTCCAGAAAAACTAAATTAATTAAAAAGGTTAATTAATTTACACCCTCTTCTCACTCTTCTCACTTCACTCTTTCTACTGTAAGCTATAACATCCGGTTTTAACTCATATAGAGTCACAGTTAATTTGTAGTTTATTATTATTTAATTGAATATTTAAGTCATTAAGTTAGGATACAGTTTGAGAAGAAATAATTAATTTAGTTTAAAAATTTTATTGTGTATTGAAAGCAAATAATTGAATCAAATTTGACCAAATGAAATTTTAAAGTTGCAAAATTATTCTATAATAAATAAAGAAAGAAATATTTTGACTGTAATTTTCAGAATTTCAAGTGGATTGAAAAGTATTACGATAAAAGTTCACCACATCGCGTACGTGACGTAATTCCTGATTCTTTGTTGGCACAATATGGTAACTATGAGTATAATGATGCCCGAGAGAGTCTGTATAAATCAAGCCAGGAAACATCTATATTTCATAGTGTAAATTTACATTCACCGGATAAACCAACTGAGCCATGGATGCTTGATGAAGTTGAAAAATGCTTTGTCCATTTAACGCTAAAAAGGTCCGTGTACTTTTAAATTCGCAATTAACTTTATTACTTTACCCTTTATTACTTCCAAAGAATTATAGAAGATATTAATATTATTTATTTATCTTTCATAAGTTCATTACACGGGTTAAAGGGTATCAACTTCTTCGATGAAAGCATCAAGCTAACTACTGATAATGATGAATATTACGACAAATGTTGTCCATTGCTTTACACAATCGACAATGCCGCTGAGCTAGAACTACAAAGACGTATTGCTAATGACAGTGTTAAATGCCTGTGGAGGTCAAAAACGACGCCAGCAAAAACACCGTCTAATCACGAACAACTAACACAAGGATACGATTGTTCACGCGTTAATCAGCAACACCAGCTGCATGATAATGATCATAAAAGGCTTACAAGTGAACGAAAAAACGACGATGAGTCATATAGCAAATGTTTTCAGTGTCCTTCTGGTGTTAATAAAAAAAAATTGCCTGATTATGAAGAAAAAGACTGCAAAATATTCCAGAAATCGTTACCTTTGTTGAGCCCAGAAGTACCGGAGTTCTTTCCTAAAGAAATGATTGTAGGCCCTACACGTCTGGATGTTCGCTATGAGTCATCAGTACCTCTACCTCTCCATTATATTCCATTAACGTCCTCGTCAGCCACAGAGAGAAATTATTATCATGATAAGTTATTTCCTGTTATTAGCAGTAGACCACAGTTGCCAAACTTCAACGCGATTTTTCAAGTAATTTTCATGTTGTATTATATTATTTAATGTGCAGTAAAAAATTTTTTTACTGTCTAAAAAAATATTTGACATTTTTTTTTCAACACAATAATAAATTGTTATTTCATCAGTTTATTTTTTTTTTTCATACTAAAATAACATTTTATAAATGTTATCTTCACTTATTTTACCTTTGACTACGCCCAAAAAAGTTGACTGATCGTTTTTTGAAAATTTTTGTAGTAAATTTCATTTTTCTTCCAATATGATCATTCAGATTAATTAATTAATTAATTGGCTCTTAAAAATATTCAAAATTCTATTTTGGAGACTTTAAAGTACATAATTTTCATTATAATATTATTTTTTTAATAATGTAATTAATTTAACAAAAGATCGGTCAAGAACTTTAGCTTCTTAACAAAATGGTTCTATTTTAATAGCTAGCGCATCGATAAGTGCGTGAAATTTGAATCTAATATCTATTATAGGATTAAAAATGACAAAAAATTGGTTTTAAAATTAAAAAATTTGAGAATTTATATATTTTATATTATTATTATTTTTTATTAATAATAAAGAAGAAATATTTCTTAATGTTACACTGATTTTAAATAGGCAAGAAAAATTTTTTACTGCATGTGTACTGCATTCATGCTTGTTGAGTAGAGAAACGAGACAAAAGCGATCTATAAATAAATTTCTGAGAATATTAATACATTAAAACCAAAACCGATAATTTCAATTATAGAACCCGGGTATTCCACTAGTTACACCGCCTATAATGACCCCGCTGATCAGGTCACCTCACCACTGGATTCCACGAATAGCTCCTCCTTTACAAATTCAAATTCCCGTTTGTTGTTCAATAGTTCCACATCAGAATATTGCGTCATTGCAATCAATTTGTCCTATTAACCATCACCGGCCGTCACCAATTCAACTAAACGATAAAATAATACAATCATCGCCGTCGACTAACAATTTTAATAATCAATCGGCGATTCCTGTTTATCAACAGCCTCCTGAGTTGTACCATCATGATTACAAGCGTAAATCACACGGCGTTGATTTTAATAATTTGATACTGCTCACGAAGAGTGCCATGAAAGTAAGAAGAAACCAGTCGAAAAACCCACAGCAGAATTCGAGTTTCATTTTGGAATCACGACAGTCGAATTTGAAGTCTGAAGATGATGTTCTTCAATGGCTGAACAAGGGTTATCAAAAAAGAGCCAAAGAGTTCATAAATGTTAATGCTATTGATACAGATTTGAACGAATTTGCTGGTAAGTTAAATGGTGATAATGACAACTTTGATAGCAGCGCTGATTTGTTGGAACATGATGATAATGATGATGAATCAGTGATTAATAATGAAACCGAAAGTTCAAAAGTATGAAAGTGTTTTATATTGTTAAGTGTTTTTATAAATTAGAAATATTTTATGGTTGATACTTGTTAAATAACACTTAATTGTTCTTCATTGTTTTTTAACATTTCTTCCTTAGTCTAATAATTGATTTAAATGTAGTTTTGCTTTGAAGAAGACACACGTTTCCTCTGAACGTGAGAAAATTTGAACATTTTAGCGAACATATTATATATTCGAAGCAAAAAGGTAAATTTTGATCACTTTATTAAAATTTTAGACAAATTATTCTAATTTGAAACTTTTTGACGTATAAATTAAAATCAAAAACTGTTTCTTCCCTTATTTTGATTGAGTAATTTACAATTCCTTACATACACACTAACAAATGACAAATTATGGGTTAGCAATATTAAATTATAAGATCAATAAATAATTGGAACATGTAAAAAGTCATTCAATTATAAGTTGAAAACTTTTACAAGTACAGTTTCAAAAGTTAGTACTACCAAGATATAAACTTTCTAAATTGACGGTACGTTTTGTACTTTGAGGAGGAATAGTTCTTGAAAATACAGGGTTGTGCAAACCCAGGAGAGGTGAAGTTGTGAACTACGGAAGACATAGTTCCAACTAACAAAGTTTTTGAGAAACCATACTGTTGACTTAAACCAATTAATAGAAAGTCTTAAATCCGTTGAAAATTATTTTACATTTTTACAATATATGTATGTTGGGGTATTATTGATAAATCCGAGCGCAACACTCATTTTTTTTGTACACGTACTGTATAGAGTCATTATTTTAGAAGTGCTAGCGTGTGCATCATTACGTTCCCCTAGCTTTTGCATAATTAATTGAATCTACCCCGGAAGTTCATGCTTCAGAGGTTTTCCAACTACTATCCAGTAATTACGGTTAAAACACTTTGGGAGGCTCTCTGTATTAAAGACCAAAATCAAAAACTGCACGGTTTATTTGCTTAGCAACTAGTAATTTCCTAGAAGTGGACTATCGATTTTGAAATTAAGGTATTTCTGTAAGGTAGGAGCGAACAAAATATAGCGTAACCAACCCTGAGAGCTAGCCCTAAAACTTTTCGCTGTCGACAAGCTATCTGAACTCGGAAGTATTACATATATACCAAAACTTGTTGTTAGTTAGCAAATAGTTATCAGTTTGAGATTCTTGTTTGAGGAAACTCTCAGAAGAAAAGTTGAATTATGGTCGTAAAAACTAAAAAGGTTCGTGAAGATTTTTATCTAGGATTGATTAATATGTCCAGTAGTTTCTGCGTCGCTTTCAATAACTCCAGTTTGCAATTATTGTTGTAGTTTATAAAAATAAATTAGAAAAATGATTGAACTAAGAAATCCATCTTAACTAAATTTTATTTAATTCAAAAATTGATATGATTAAATTCTTTAAATGATTTTTTTTTATTCAATATTTTTTCTCTTGAATTATATTCATTTTTTGTTGGTGTAAGAAATTTGAAATTCATGCAATACCTCTATTTTTGTAGTTAGATTTTGTAGTTAAAGTTTTCACACAGAAATAGACATACTTATGTATATATTTTATCACGTTTTATAAACACACATATTTACATACATACATGCTGATATAGATGGTAATATTCGTACCTATAAATAGAAAAAAGTCTTATGATATTCTTTAAATTTAGAAACAAATTTTCCATCACAGCAGTTTTATATTATAGTTCTATATTTTGATAAAGGTTTTTGAACATATATATCTTGATTAAAAAATCACTCACGAGCGAGCCATCGAGTTTCTATTACTCAATAAAAATCTTGACAATTAAAGATTGATCGATAAATTTTATCGTCGAAGAATTGAAGATACACGGAGAAGAGAAACAAGGTCATGTCAGTACTTGAGTCCATTAATTTAGATGACTTTTATAGCTTTTTCAATGCTATTAGTGATCATTATTTCTGCATTACTAACCAGAGTGTAATTATAATAAAGAAAGCTTCGAAACGAAGATTTTGAAACAACGAAAAAAATTTCTCGGTTCCTTTGTGATGCAAAAAGAATAAAAGTAAAAAAAAAAAGAAACCATAAATTTAAGTTATAGGGTAGACAGCTGGGGAAACTAACACCGATGAACCTCAATATAATAGTAGTAATTCCAGCAACAGGGTATTGCTGTCAAAAAGACTTTACTAAGGTTTCAAGGGTCTGAAGTATCCAACGTAATATTATTTTCTACGCTAAAGATTTTTTTTCGCCAACAAAAATTTATTTTTTTTTTGTTCAAAAACTTTTTTCGCAATCTTTTCCTATTGAAACTGATAACATTTAATCTATTACGATAAGCAGCTATTTTAAATAAATGACTTAAGGAAATTTTTATTATTTATTTGTACAATTTTCCTTATAGGTTAATTAAATAGACGTCATTAGTGACGATTAAGTATTTAAGGTAATTATGATTACCGCGATGTTATCAAAATGACTGTAAAATGGCATTAAAAATTGGCCAGTAATTAAGAAAAAAAAAATAATTGAAATGAATGTGGAACGGTTAATTCAAATATTAAGTTTATCGTTTTAATAGTGACGATAAAATTTTATCAAATAAAACACTGGTCTATTATTTTTTATAGACTGTAGTTGATTAACAATGAAAAACGTCGAAACGGTTAGATATATTTATACAGCTACAATCATGATTAATCAGCGTGTAGCAAACAAAAAGACCTTGAACTGCTGATTTTGTTCAAGCTACGTTTCATGATTACTATACGCTCTGGCAACGTCGCATCAGATCGAGTTCAGTCAGCACAACCCGTCGCCTAGCAACAACCCGAGTCTGGTAAGGTCAGCACAACTCGAGCCAGGTTACTTTACAACTACGTAGAGTATAACACATAACTTATAACTATACGTTAAGAAACGATGCGAATATAAAGACCCAGAAATTGAAGTAACTCGATTGAATTTATGACTCGTTTAAATTTATTTATAACTTGTCTTAGATAAATTTTTTATCACTATAGTATACTTATTTTTTAAATCTTATCTTTTATAATCGATATTGAAAATCTGAAGAGATTATTAAGAAAACAAATTCAAGCGAGAAAATTTTCCTATTTTATAAAAATTTTGATAGCCTATATGTCAAATTAAATATTTAAATTACGTAATGCAGCAAATTTTAATCGATTAGAAATTCTTTTCAAGCCTATCAAGATTTACGGTTCAAGTCGGAACATGAATAAATTAGCAATTAATGAGATACAGTAGATGTAACAGTCAGGGCCCAGGAGACAGTTATGTCTGTTGATACATGTGTAGTGTGTATAGTCAAAGTCAAAAAGCAGCAGGGAAGGGCTCAGCTGCTTTGTTCCTGCTATGCGTTGTTGCCAAATTCTCGAACGTGAAACAGAAATTGTTACGTAACGTAAGTCGAGAAAAATAAAAACTAGTAACTGACATTAAATTTAAATTACGGGCGTCCATAAATTCGTGGTAGTGTACTAAAAAGGTGGCAAAATTAATGTCCTATTTTACGATAAGCATTTTAATACCAGAAATTTTACCAGGCTATTTTCGACGCACTTACATTAAATATTTTATAGCTTTCTATAAATCTCAGAATGTCCTAAACTAAAAAAAAAAAAAAAAACGTCGAACTTGCACTGTAGACAATACCTATTAACAGCGAAGATAAAATAATGACAGGGAAGTAATTTTATTTTATCAGTAAGATAATTACTATAGCATCCTACTAATGCTTTGGTTATTACAGCGACAGTATTAATAGTTAAGCACTTTTGTGCATTAGTAGGAGGAAATATATCATAGTAATCTGAACAAAAGTTTTCAGGAATAAGTTTTTATTTGTAGTGAGTGTCGTGAAGGTTAGTAGCTAGTGAAAAGAAAAAAGGGGGAGGTTAGAATAATCCAGCAGCAAACGACAGACCGACAGACATTGTACATTCATTTCAATTCCAGTGCTGAATTATCCCACTGCATAGTAATTCCTGAAACTTTCGTCAGTTAGTGGTTCCACTAAATCCCCACTTCTGGCAGTTTACGTTTCCAACAGCCGTATAATCAAGAATTTCAGTGGGGGTAAAATCAATACGTGGAAGTTCCCAAGCCTGGTTCTGGCTCAAACCTATTAAGCTCTTGCTGAACATATACATAGTGCGCAGTATACACACTGAAGCATATACTGTACGTATAGTAGATATTTATATAATATAAATGAAAATATACAACTATAATGCCATTGGAAGGGCGGATACGGTTCCCCACTGATTTTTCCGCATGGAAAAAATAATATAAACAATGTAGCTCAGCGTTCCGACAGGAAAAATTACTATTGAAACTCTGTTAAGACTTAAATAATCAATACAAGTTTAGAATCGCTCGGTTCTGACTGGTTTTGCCATCAGCTTTAACTATTATACAACATCCGTTCGCTTTACAACTACAAAATGTACATGTGGGAAACATGTACTCATTAAAGTTCATATACATCAATACATCAATACATGTAATACTCAAACAAGTAGTTAAAGTGAACTTAATCGCATTTAATTTGAAGATAACATAAACGCTAGCATAACAGCAAGAACGCTCAAATCAATTATTAAATACTCATAATTATAATTACATAGAGGCTATTAAATTTTCAATTGAGTACATTTCATATCATATAACTCAACTATTTGATTCTGATATATTGTACAGTTGTATTTTCCGGCTGGCATATTTTGTGAAAAGATCATCAATTTTGATCAATTTTGAGGTAGGGGCTTTCGTGTTTGAAAAGAAGCTAAAAAAAACTACCATCTGATTCTAAATACGCATGCACACAGTCTACTTTAACGCTATTGGCTCCCCACTCTTGAGCCTCGACGAGTTAGGTTGCTCAAAAATAAATAAACTTCAGCTTTCCCCCGTTTTAAGCGGTAGATTTTTTGTTCGGTCTGTTAGGAATAACGTGAAATAGAATGGGAAGCAGATGAAATTAAATTAAAACTTAAATCCTGAAGAACTTATACAAGCGTATTGTAAGGTAGTGTTGGTTGGGTTTTAGACTACTGTGCGCATGCTGAGTACATGTGGTGTATGCCAGATGTAACTGTAATCCGACTCCTACTCCTACAAGAACCCATATCAAGTTTATGTCATCCGCCATCATACCATCAAGTCCCATACCAAGTATTTAAAGTTTTACCAGTACAGCACGGCACAGAACTGTACCATACCGTCTAGCAAATATGTACAGTGTACAGTGTAGTTTGCTAATACAATGTAATGAGTTATTAAACCCAACGTTACTCTAGGGACTGACAGGCAGTGGCAGGGACAGGGGGAAGTAAAGCAGGCAAGCAGAAGCAGCAGCAACCAGCACAGCACCTAACCAGCAGAAGCAGACATAGAAAATTAAAGAGACGAAGTGGGGACGAAGTAAAGCTCTTTCTCCGGCACGATCGCGATGTTTCATCACGCTCGGCGCATGTCGCTAGCCGCGTTCTCTCAGAATACAACACAATACTGAATACTGACACAACATACATACCAACGCTGAACAGATTTCTGAAACTCTGACCGCGGTCATATCATATCACGTTTATTTCATCTGTCCTGTTATGTGAATTCATTAACGCGCCGCCATATTTGCTGACACTGCGTACCGGGTAAAGACAAACATTTCTGAAGGACGATTGGGTACGATATTATTGTTGTGTACTTTAATAGTATAGTACGTATCTACTATGGATACTCATACTTATATAAATATTAAATACATTTGTATATTTACGTTGAGATATAAATGTACGCATACCTTTTAATGTAAAATATCATATATATATATATATATATATATATATATATATATATATATATATAGTTAAATACTCAGTGATATATTATATACCGCTAATATTTAATAATAGCTTCGAATATCGCGCGTTAGATTTTATAGAATAGTGTATGTATAGTGATTTTAACGTCAGCCATGTTTTTTAATCAACTATTTACTACTATTGTTATTATGTGTCATGATCTATTGGATTATATTGTTATTTTACCAACTCAATATTAAGTAATAATATTAAACTGTTGTTGTTTATTATTATTATTATCAGTTTTAATATTTTGAATCTTGATAGTTGTTTCTTTACTAACTAAATTCAATTATTTGGTGATTTATTTAAATTGATGTTGATTAAATTAACACTTTTGGCGCTATGATATACCGTTATTTATTTATCAATCGATAATAAAGTGTCATGTGAACAAAACTTGTTGCTTTCTAATATTCTCTAGTGCTCATTAATTTTTGGCTAAACTTTACAATAGATAATTAATGAAAATAGCAGATATCTGACTTTTACTAATTTTTAAGTGAAGTAAATATGACAATAAAGTTAGCAGACGTCTAAAAATTTTTGATTTATTTTTATTAATTAAATTACAACTAAAAAGATATTTATAAAAAATTGCACTTATAGTTTTTCGAGTTTTTTACATGTGAAATTTTTTTTTTTAATCGTTTAATTGAAATTTTTTCAATAAAAAAATTTCTAAAAATTTTTGCTTACTATTACCTCTTAATTTTTTTGCAATGACATCAAAAACTCGGACGTCTGCTACTTTCAGCATAATTAGATGATAAGATAGTTTATTGTTGTTGTTAATAAATTTAGTTAACTAGCTAAGATTGAAATTAACACTTATTAATGTAATGCTCATATAAATTACAGCGAATGAAATGGCTTGTTGATATATTTAAGATATATAATAAATAAAAATATATGCAACACTAACTAAAGCACACGATTACGTATACGATAATAAATTGTTTATGATTGTCATCATTACTGTTGACAATGAATGTAAGTAATATTTACTAATAAATTTATTGTATTTTTGATAGTTTATTTTTATTTATAGAATTGTAAATTATTACTATTAGTTTATTTTTTATTTTTAATTTTTTTTATATACATATATATATATATATTTTAAGGGTGGAAATGAACAGTCCAATCCAGGAACCAGATTTTGACGGATTTGATTTCCCAGAAAAAAATAAAATTGATACTACTGAAGAAAACGAAACTGGATTGCCAATATTAGGTTCGTTTATTAATTATCATTTAATTTATATTAATTAATTAGAAAAAAAAATTTTTATTCAAATTTTTAATTAAAAAATTATTGATTTTTCCATTAAAAATTAATAAATAAAATTTTTTTATTATCTGAGCATTGTGTGAATAAAAATATAGGTAGCCATAATTATTAATGACTTTTTCCAATGCATAACCTCAAGACATAAATTTAATAATAAACCGTAAATAATTTAGCGCATAAAAAGGAAAAATGATGAAATTTTAGTTTTCACTAAAGATTATAAAATAATAAAAAATTTAAAACTTACAATTGTAGCGAGATATGTGATTAATTCCCAGTTTATTGGACTATTTTTTAATGGCGGGAAATTTAAAACGTGTTTTTTATTTTGACAACTCACAATATTTCAAGACTTTAAATAAAATCTATTATTAAATATTATTCAATGTAAATTTATGGACTATTAATTATGAATTATTGTCATTGGAAATTCAAATATTTAAAGTAGGAATTATTTTTTTTTTAATTCTAAAAGTAACAGCCGCGCCTCTGGCGGTAAAATTTTTATGGCAGAAATAAAATAAAAAAAAAAAAAAAAAAAAACAAAAGGCTAAAACAGATACCGCGGCGGCGTCAGTTGATCCCACGAAAAAGTGTAACAAACATCAAATATTGGCAATTAGATAATTATTGAATCCAATAAATAAATTATATTGGTGTATTGAAAAGTGTAACAATAGTTATATTACATTTGTGGAAACAAGTGTTTCTCCTAAATAATTGAATCTTAATCAACAATTCACACATCAATAAATGTGTATTTAGTACCGTGGTGGGTTAATTGTTGTTTACATTAGTTACATATTACATGTGGTTTTTTCTATTTAATATATATGTATGTATAATTATCCAAACATATAAATCTCTTCAAATAAGGTCTAATTATTTTTCATTTTGCAGAATTCTAATTTTTAATTAATATCTTCGGAAAAATTATTGATTTTTTTTTTTTAGTTTGAGGTTAATTACTTATTAATTAAATTTTAATTATGATTACAGACAAAATGATGTGAACAGCAGATTGTAGACTTGTTTCTTAGTAATCCACTTAATTTACACAAAGAATTTTATAAAATTAAAAATTTTTGGGATTATTTTTTTTTTAATTTTATAAATTACAAAATTTTTTTTTTAAGTGTAATTTAAATTATTTTAATTTATTGTCAAAGAAAAAAAATTTAGAAACATAATTCATAAAAACAATAAAAAAAATACATGAAAATATGATTCATAATTTCAAACAGTTTTATTTTTATTTTTTTTTTAGAACTTAAAAAATTTTTTAGTGTCAGTTTTTTCAGTGCAATAAAAAATTATCATAAATAAAAATTATGAATAAACTACTAGGAAAATTTTATGTGAATGGAAAATCACCAGTATGAAATAGCTTTTTTTTATTAACAAAAAAAAATTATAAATAAAATTTTTAAATATTTTTATTTTAAAGTTGTAAACTTTATGTTTAGCTTCTCAGTTTTATTTATTGAAGTAATTAATATTGATTTTTTAATTGTCTATCTAATAATAAATTTAATTATGTATTAAACTCATTAATAAAATAATAATAATAATAATAATAGAATATAATTTTTAATATATATTACTATAATTTTGTATGAAAATTAATAATCATAAAGTTAGCCGACATTTTTTATTTTTTTATTTTGCTTAATTTATTAAATTATAACTAAAAAATATTTTTAAAAAATTGCACTTATAGTTTTTGAAGTTTTTAACAAATGAAAAAAATTTTTTTTAATTTTTTTGTAATAGTTCTTTAATAAAAAAAAATCATAAAATTTTTAGCCGACATCTAAAAATTTTTTTTAATTGAAAAACTATTACAAAAAAATAAAAAAAAATTTTTATTTGTAAAAATCTTAAAAAACTATAAGTGCAATTTTTAAAAAATATTTTTTAGTACTAATTTAATAAATGAAAAAATTAAAAACGTCGGCTAACTTTATTGTCATTAATTTTGTTAATAAAAATTTGAAGAAGTATTCAATTAATTGACATTAATTTTTGTTTCAGAGGAACAAATAAATATTGTTAAATCATTGGAGCGTGTGTCGGAAGAGTTGCCACAGTGTGAAGTCTGTTCGCAGCAATTTTTAACGAAAAAAGAGCTAAGATCTCACATAACTCTCCACCTTGGACAGCCTAGAGTTGTATTAAAAAGGTGTTCAAATTTGCATTTGGTAAAAAAAAAAGAAAAAGACAAATACAGTTTGACTCAGGAGAAAAAAGGTTCGCTTAAATTAACACTGAAGAAACAAAATCATCGTGATTTTGCGGTAATAAGCCGTGATTTGGATTTCGACAGTGATAATTCAGAGTCTGAAGAGGTGGCAGGTTTAAAAAAAAATAATAAAAACGAGAAGGAGGAGGAGGAGCATGAGGACACTTTGGATGGCAATAATGGCGAACAGACAGATCAACCTCCACATGAATTTGAAAATGTGATGGTTAATGAAGACGATAATTATCAGGATGATAATTATGATAACAATGATGAGGATAATTTTCTTGAAGATAATGAAGAAAGACCATCCGTGGAAATTAACGAAGGTGATTCTGGGGTAGGGAGTGATATGGCCAATACTTGTGAAAAAGATGATCAAAATGTTGATGATTTACATAACGTAGATAATTATCAGCACGAAGATGATGATAGAAATAATATAGAAGAACCTGATGACCCAGAAGAATCAGACCCCATTGACGCAACTTACAGGGAAACTATTGAGAATTTAAAAAAAATTGGTGAACAAACTAGGTACGATTATATTTTTTTTTATCATTTTAATTACTTTCGAAACCAGTTCGTAGATAATACTTACTAGTAGCTATCAATTATTTTAATGACCGCGATAAATGCAAATGACAGTGAGCAATTATTGGACAAAGTAGTTTATCAGTAATTTTGATCGAATTTACTTTTAAAATTATCTAGGCTGGTAATAGGAAATGTATTTTTTAAATTATTGCTTTTTAAAATTGTCAACATTAATTAACTAGGCATATTAAATTTTTATTTTATTTATTTATCAAACTTTTAGGCTCTGAAGCCTCAGCTCTCTAAGGGCCTTAAAAAATGAATACAAAAGAGATAAATAACATAATAATATCACTAATAACAATTAAAATTTTGCTTTATTAAATAATGACTTTTGTTAAATTGTACAGTACTTTCTTAAATATTATTAAGTTTTTCAAGATATAAGCTCATCCCGATGTTACACTCATCAAGAGCTTTCATTTGAGTATCCACATGCATTTTTGATATATTTTTCATATATAAATATATAATATATATAAATATATCAAATATATGAAAAATTGATGTGGGTACTCAAATGAAAGGTCCTGATAAGTGTAATGTCGGGATCAGCTTATATCTTTAAAATTGTCAATGGTTCACATGATATTTGTTAAATTGCACTGTAATTTCTTAAATATTGACATTTTTAAAGATATAAGCTCATCCTGATGTTACACTCATCAAGAGCTTTCATTTGAATACCCACATACATTTTTTATATATTTTTCATATATAGATATATATATATATATAATATATATAAATATATGAAAAATTGATGTGGGTACTCAAATGAAAGGTCTTGATGAGTGTAACATCGGGATGAGCTTATATCTTTAAAAATATCAATAGTTCACAAGATACAAGGTTATTTTTAATATTCATATATTTAATTATAAAATTTATAATTCCAGTACAATTAGAGAAGAAATGTCACCGAGAGACGAGGACGACAGTCCCGATGAATCATCATCAGACGCAATGACCTCCCGGATAAACGACAACGACGCCTTGAAATTACTCTCCAATAACTCAGCAATAGAGCTTTACCCGGCAAAAAAAACTTCCAGCAAACCTACCAAAAATAACAACGAAGCCCTGCGGATAAACTCAACAATGAATTGGAACCAGATCGAAAACCTATCCTCCAGAGACAATGACAGTGACGAGCATGTAAATAAAGATGGTGAAGCGTCCAAAGACAACGCAGACAACAGCACCGAGGCGGGTTTGTTGCTGCAAAATTTGCTAACAGAGCATCATCACAGGAAAAACAACGAGGAAAGATCTTCTCAAAATTCCTCCGTGGAAACTGAGTACGTATCCCTCGAAAGACTAGCTGAGACAGTGAACAAATGTCGTGTGTGCAATGAAAAATTTAACGACATAACAATGCTGGATGATCACAGATTAAAAGCCGGTCACTATCAGTGCAACGTACCAGATTGTTCATCTCTAGTGTTCACAACGTCCGGTGAATTATCGCTGCACAAATTACAGTCACATGAACCTCATAATAACAATCATCCTCTATCCCCAACAATAAGTATTATCCCATCCCAAGTGAACCACCAATTATCTCCTAGAATTACTGAAAGTGCTGCTAGTTTAGGACACAACTCCCCCGGGATGACAAACCATCGTTCTCCGTCGACTATTTCTCCTCATACAAACTCTCCTCATAATTTATCCCCGCATCCAATGAGTTTAGACCCTTTGAACCCGCTCCAATTAAATCGTTCCTCGCCGCTGGCTTCTCATCAAACCCACTCGCCTTCATATTCCTCCCAGCACCACCATCTCCAACAACAACAACAACATCACCAGCAGCAAGACCACCACTCGCTTCATCATCAGCAGCAGATGATTCCTCCGATAAATTTCGACCAACTACCACCTCCAGTACAACAGTTGGCCCAGCAAGTCCAACGAATGGCACTACCACAGTCCCAAATGCCTCCAACATTACCACCGGGTGCTAATACGATGATACCTGGGCCAAATTACTTCGTTCAACCTTCGGGCAGGCCTCCGATGTACCACCGCATGCCTGGTGGTCCGGGGCATCAACCAGGTAGTCATCCACCGCACAATATGCAGTATCCACCTCACTTGGCCCACATATACGGTCCCCAGTATGGCGGACCGTACTCTCAGTACCCGGGCCCGTCCCAAATGCACCCACAAATGCAGCAGCAGCTTCAGCAAATGCAACAGCAGCAACAACAACAACAGCAGCAGCAGCAGCAGCAGCAGCAGCAGACTAGAGGAAGATATCCCCCAAGTATGATGGCAAATCCAAGAGGTCCAAGACCGATGGTTCCTAACCAGGTGCCTAGGCCGAGGCTCAAGAGACCTCTGCTTCCGCAACCTCCCCCGGCTCAAGGCCAGCCTCAGCAGAGAGGTACGGAAGCTAGCACTAGTAAGCAGAGGAGGATGGATCTGTTGATTCCTGATAGGAATGAAGACGCGGATTGTCATGTTATTGCGCAGCAGAAGAGGAATGATGGAGTGCCGATTATTCAGAATGTCCAGGGGGCTACTGGACAGCCGAGTACTAGGAACGACTCTACTATTCATTTAACTGATTCTATTACTCTCAGTGTTCGTCAACCTGGTGAGTTTTTTTTTTTTATTTGTTTTTTGGGTTTTTTTTAAGCTTTTTTTCTGTTGGAGTTTTTATTTTTTTTTTTTTAAAGTTTCCGTAAAATGAGAGTTGTTTTTTATTTTATTATATTTTATAAAATAATTATTATTATTTATTATATAATTTTAAAAATACAATAATTATTTATTAAATTAATTTTATTTTATAAATAAATAATGATTTTTTTTAATAGTTTTATTTAAATTGTTTGGTATAAAATATTAAATAATTTGAAGAATTTCGAGAAAATTTTACAATTCTAAGAATTTAGTTGAAAGGAATTTAATGAATTTTTTATGCTTTTAAAAAATACTTGGAGAGTAAATTTACTTATTTAACTTCAATATTATTTCCTTTATTCTCTATTGATTTTTCGCGGAGATATTCACACTGAAAAAAAATTGAATCAAAAGAAAAATTCTTGAATTAAATAAAATTTTTTTTTATATAAGACATCTCATTTTACGGAATTTTTACTTAGAGTTATTATTTGTTGTAAAAAGTTATTTTTTACATCTGAAAAAAGGAAAAAGCCAACGGAAAATATGTGTTTGCTAATCTGAAGGTTCCACTCCAGCTCAAGTGCAGAATCCAGGGACAACTCCTGCGAAAAAAACGGACGCTAAAGCCGTAGCTAATGTTTTGGCGGCTCGAGGCATCACGGTGACACCTACGGCGAATAAAAACAAAACTGGGGAACAGCAGAAGCAACAATCACCGGCGCAACAACAGCAACAACCGCAGCAACCTCAACGGACTGCGGCCTCGACCTCGCCTTCGGTTACCGCTCTAAATTTAAACTCTGCCATTTCTATTATTCCTGCGAGTACTCAGAGAAAGCAGCAGCAGGCGTCACAACAACAGCAATCGCAACAGCAGGACCAGCAGTTTGCAGTACCTCAAAATAAACAGAGCAAACAGACTAATCAAGAGATCGAGAGGCCGCCTAGACCGCCGACGATTGATCTTACTCAAGAGTCAAGTCCGTTGATGGCTCATACAAGAAGAGGAAGACCAACCAGGTAATTTTATTTATCACTTAATTAATTTTAATTCACGCTTTTTATTTTTCTTCTTAGGTATCATTTTTATAAATTATAATTTTTAATCCTGATTTATAAGAAAAAATGTTTTAAAATTTTATTTAATTTTATCAAAAATTAAAAAAAAAAGTTGTATTAAAGTCTGTATATTATACTCTAGTAAGTTTATTCCTAAAATATTGTAGATGAAATATTGATGTTGAAAAAAAACTCTCGGAAAGTAAAATTAAAAAAGTTAAAATCGGGTAAAAGTTTAAATAGACACGAGTTTTGACATTTTTAATCATTAACGCTCTAAGGAAATTTTATGAAACTTTTTATAAGTTTCAAACATAAAATTGGATAAAAAAATTTTTTTTTAAATAAATAAAATTATTTTTCAGAGCTGCATTAACCTGCCAAATATGCGATAAAAGTTTTCAAAATCAAGAAATTTTAGTTCAACACATGGCATCTCATCGCACGTCAAATAAATTAGACTATAAGTAAGTCAATTAAATTATATACTAATATATAAAAATACGTAAGACAGATCGCATTTACGTCAATACAGTTATTTCAAAGTTTATAATAAACAAATTCAATCTAAATTTTTCCTCCCTCGGGATGAAACTCATCAGTTTCATCCGCTAATTTTGCATTGATCTAAAATTGTTTCGCTTGGAGTAGCTCAACTCGATATTTAAATCCAAGTAACATGAAAAATAATTTACTATTGATTATTGGTTATTTAAAATTGTTAATTCAAGCACTGATGAACTTTTTATTATCATTAATAATTCATGAAATGGTAATACTTTGTCATTTTTAATTAAAACAACAAATTGAAATTATGTAGGCTATAAATTATTACATTCTGAAATTAATTAATTACCAGATTCTTTTGAATTATTAAAAAATAATTAGTTCATCAACATAGCCCTAATTAAAAGTGCTGGTGACATGAAACCATTAAAATTTTAATTATTTACATGACTAATAATTTTTTGTTTTTGTTTGTTAGATGTAATCTTTGTACAGCGGCGTATCCAACGTCACAAGGTTTAGTTTTGCACAAGCAGAGCTACCACAAGGAATTGGACAGCGCTCCAACAAATGGTGGCACAGAGTTAGCGATTCCAGTGGTAGATTTAAAGTCACCGCAAACGTTGTCCCGATTGACTAGTTTGGGTATTCAAAGTTACATACCTCTGTCGCAATTGAGTGCACAAACTGGTGGTTATTTTGCATTACCAATAGTTACTATAGACAGTCCTCGTAATCCTAACTCGTGTAATCTAGGTGCACTTGGTGCTACGTCGATACTAAGTTTAGGGCCTTTAAAACACCTGTCTAACAGGTAACTATAATAATTTTAAATAGAAATTAAAATATATATATTTATATGTTTATCAGATTTCTAAGGTACATTTACTGTTGACTACCATTTTGATGTTGGAAATAAACCATGACATTATCTTTCTCATTTTGATCGACGCAATTTTAAACAGAAAAAAAAATAATTTATCATTAATACTGTTAAATCAGTTGGAAAATATTTTATTTTTATTAAGATGATTTACTTATTGTTGAAAATTTTTTATTAAAATATAAAAAATTTATATTTACTTTGCTTTTTAAATTGCAAGTAAAATTTATTTCAAAATTTTTACTTACTCAATCGATTGAGTTATTGAATTATTATTGTGCTCCATAATTAATGGAATAAATAAATCATAAATGCATCCTCAAAAAAAAAAAATCAAATATTTTGTAACTAGAAGGATCAAAATATGTTGATCATAACTTTATATATAAAGGTGAAGTTTTTTATGACTATCATTATCATAAAATTTAGAAGTTTAAGTATTTATTGAATCATAATAATAAATAAAATAAAACAAAAATATACATTGATTAAACAACAGCTCAATGATAAATTGTCAAGTATGACTAAATGCATCAATTACTTACTTTTTTATATTTTAAATAGAGCAGTATTTTTAAATTCAAATTCAACAAGATATTAAATATTTCCCGTAATGTAAATACATTTGAAAAAACTTTAAGTTAAGCTGATAGCTGAATTATGATGATTTATAATTAAATTAAATTAGTACAGTGCCTCCTCTAAGATATTTTAGCTGCGTCCAATTTTTTTATTAGTTACTCATAACAGAAAAAAAATAACTTGTTATACCTTAGAAATGGAGCAATGTACTGTTTGAGTTAGCGTGCATTTGAAAATGTTCTAATTGTATTTAAAGATAATATGAATGTAAAATTTGAAATATTTTTTTTTATTTTATAAAATTATTAAGAGTTGTGACGGATACTCAAATTTGTTTTTATATGTATATATGTAAATTTTTGTGGGCATAAAAAATTTTTTTTTAACAAACGAACGGCAGCTTTTACACTGATAAAAAAATTAACTTGACTCAAAAGTCAAAATCTTGAACCAAGATTTTGACTTTTTGAAAAAAAATGATTTTCTTGACTCAAGAAAATTCATAATTAATTAATTAAAATTTATGATTAATTAATTATTATAAAATGGTATTCTTGTTTCAAGATTTTGGCTCTTGAGTAAAGTTAATTTTTTATCAGAGTATGAATCAATAATTACCAGAAACTATGGTATAATTTATTTATACATGCATACTCCATAAAAATTTACTTGAACAGAAAAATGGTATCTTCAAATTTGTTTTAAATTAAAAACAGAGCATGTTCAAATGTACTTTTTCTTTAAAATTTTAATGTTCACAAGGCCTAAAAATAATTTTTTATTTTTATTTAAATTACTATTATTTTTATACTGTTATGACGCATTTATTAAAATGTATAATAGTACTTTATAAAAAATAAAATATCGAATTAAAAAAGACCCGGGTCTAATGAAAATTTCGATATTAAAGTGATAATTGATAATTAGATTAAAAATTTATTAATTTTATATGTGATGGAAAAAGTTCTTTTTTTATTAATATCTTAAGCTTGTTTATTGAGGTTCATCTAATTTATAATATAATTAACCACTAGAAGGGTATATTTCATTTATATTATTAAATATTAAAATATAAATTATTTATTGTCATTAGTTATTATTATTACTTACGCGAGGATGTAAAAAAATATAAAATTTTTTTCATCAAAGTAAAAAATAAATAAAACAAAACTCATAGGCCAGAACTGATCTACGATTATATTATTACTGTATATACTTTATAATGTAAATAAGTATTTTCAAGAGTAAAAATTATTCAAATAGCCGTAATGAGTTTTAATGAAAAAATATGATATATGATGATAAATAAAAATATATTGTTAAAAGTCGTGACAAATATTTCTCAAAATAAAGTTGTTTCATTATTTAGTCATATGATTAATGATAATCCATTATTGGTTATTAATTATTAATATTAGTAATATATATATATATATATATATTTGACATGCAATAGTTTAATATATTATTGTAAAATATAATATATAATTTTATCATTTAATTTTTGTATACGATTATTATAATTATTATTTTTATTATTAAGTTTCAGTATTTAAGAATGAAAATACTTGAACTATGTTAAAAAAAAAAAAAAGCACGTGCTAAAATATATAAAATTTAATTTCATAAATAATTTTATATATGTCTATTGCATATTCTTAAAAAACAAGAAACAAATTATTATACAGAAAATAATAAAATTTTTATGCAAAAATATTTTTTTAATTTATTTTTTACTTGATTAATTTATTCAAGTGACAAAAATAAATCAAAATTATTATATAATTACTTCTGTCATATTTTTTCTTTTTTTACAATTATTAATAAAAATTTCTAGTATTTTTATGATATTAAATTTAGCTGTCAAATTTATTCCAAAAAATTATTTTTTAAAAATTGCATTTTTAGTTTTTTAAAATCAATTTTTTTTCACAATTTCTTTATTAAAAAAATTTTTGAAATTATCAACTAGCTAAATGAATTTTCATCGTATTTTTTATAATTTAATTTTAGGAAAGAATTACTGAGAGTTTTGATTTTTCTTCAAATTTTCCAGTAAGTAAAATAAAGGCTTCAAATATTGATCAGTTTAGATAAACTTAACATGAATACATTATTTATAAATTAACTAAAAGAGTTCATGGACTAAAACGAGTATTATTTAATTTATAATACTAAAGTTAGCCGACATTTTTAATTTTTTTTTCATTCATTAAATTGGAACAAAAAAATTTTTTCTAAAAATTGCACTTAATATTTTTAAAATTTTTTACAAATAAAAATTATGAAGCTGAAGTTAGCTGACAACGGTCAATTTTTTGGATTTTTACAACAAATAAATTATTACTAAAAAAAAAACATCAAAAAAAAAAGGCAACAATAAATTTTTTTGACATCTACAAGTGAAATTTTTTAGAAAATTTTTATTGTAATAAAATATTTGTCGAAAAAAATCCTGAAAATCATCAGATGTCAGCTGACTTCAGTATTATTAAAAATTTGGATGACTAACTTAATTTTCATATTCAATTTTGTATAAATTGATCATAAATCTACTTACCAAACGTTGCGAGGTTAAGTTCTAATGATTAATCTTCACAAATTCTGACATTTTTACACAAACTTATTTTTTTTTATTATTATAACAACTGTTCACACACAAACTTTTATTTAAACTATAATTAAAAATTAATAATCACGCACTGAGTATAAAATTAAATCACTAGATTTTTTAAAAACAAGTTGTCACACAAGTTGAAGATACCATTTAAAATTTTTAGTTAATTAACTTCTGTTTTTATTATATTTTTTATTATAACAAGAGTTCACGCACACATTTTTATTTTAAGTATAATTAAAATTTAATAATCACGCACTGAATATAAAATTAAATCACTAGAATTTTTAAAACCAAGTTGTTCACACAAGTTGAAGAAACCGTTTAAAATTTTCAGTTAACGACTTCTTTTATTTGCAAAAATTGGCGGGAAATAAATTAATTTAAAATTCTCTAAAACTCAAACAGAAAATGATGGCGCTAGTGTATCAAAACTATTATTATTATTATTATTATTATTATATTATTATTTTATTTTTTACAGTTTATTGTTTATTTACAACAATAACCGATTAACCTAATATTTAATTATCAATTTAATCTGCAAAATTAAATACATAGTAATTATTTACATATATGAATTAATGTTAATTAATTACTGTCAACTATATCAAGTTATCTATATCAGATAAAAGACTTTCTTAACCTCATCCATATGTTTTGAAATTTATTTATCCAATTAAAAATTAATTAAATTAAATAAATGCAAGTTCCATAATAATTGTTGTGGAAAAATGTTTGGAACGCTGAAAAGTAAATTTCAAACTGTACAAGATGGTATTTCAGCAAGGTAAAATTAATAACTCATTAATTATTTTTAAGGACTTTATTGTTTGTTATTATTTACGATTGAATGGTTCAGTTTTAAAGGTCTGACACTTGGCGAAAGTCCAAAGCCTAAAAAACCAAATGCGGGTACTGACCGAGTTAATTACAATGCCGGAGCAGATGTTTTGCATCACTACCAATTGCAGTGGAATGAATTGCATGAGCTCGCTGAAGAAAATTCAATTAAAGCACATGAAGTTGATGTGCTTGTTGGAACAATATATGAAAAACTTAATAGAGAATGGAATAATATGACAATATTAAACTGTACTTTAGCTTCAATACCTAAAATAAATCATGACATTCAAAATCTCATGGATCAAATAGGTAATGTCAAATTTATTATGATAAGTATTTAGGCTGCATTCGAAAATGCTCTATCTCTAGATATATAATTAAGAACTGACATTGCTACCTTGTTAACTATTGACATTTTTTAAGATATAAGCTCATCCTGATGTTACACTCGTCGAGATCTTTCATTTGAGTACCCACATCAATTTTTTATATATTTTATATATTTATATATTCCACAAATACCATATATATATATATAAAATATATGAAAAATGCCATGTGGGTACTCAAATGAAAGGTCTCGACGAGTGTAACGTCGGGATGAGCTTATATCTTTAAAAAACATCAATAATTAAGAAATGACTTTGTATCTCATGAACTATTGACATTTTTAAAGATATAAGCTCACCCCGACATTACATTCATCAAGACCTTTCATTTGAGTACCCACATCAATTTTTCATATATTATATATGTATGTATATATGAAAAATATA